GGGGGGGACCACCAGAGCGCAGCTCCATAACAGGGGCACCTCAGTGTCAAAAGGGACCACCTGGAGGATGGACCCAGCTGCGAAGGACATGGGAGTATGGGGACCGCCCACAGGACAAGCTACTGCCTCGCTCGCTGGAGAGTCCCCGCCTGCCCGCAGCTCCGGCACTCCAGGCAAGCCCTGGGCAGGGCGGCACTTGGCTTGCTCGTCCTACGCCCTAGGTCTAGCCAAACGGCTGATCGGAGCAGGGAGCAGAACCGCCCCGTTCGCATCGGCCTCCAGCTCAGGGGCCAGAAGAGCGGATGGGACCGGGAGATGGCCCATCCAGCCCAGCCTGGAGAGTCCCCGCCTGCCCGCAGCTCCGGCACTCCAGGCAAGCCCTGGGCAGGGCGGCACTTGGCTTGCTCGTCCTACGCCCTAGGTCTAGCCAAACGGCTGATCGGAGCAGGGAGCAGAACCGCCCCGTTCGCATCGGCCTCCAGCTCAGGGGCCAGAAGAGCGGATGGGACCGGGAGATGGCCCATCCAGCCCAGCCTCCGAACCAAGGGCCTCAGGGGAGGGCCAACCATCACGGAGTGTCCTGCCTGCAGGGGGAAGCCGCTCCCCCGCCCGGTAGATGCTGCTCATGCCCACAGGACTCACCCCTATGCTGACTAGCTACAGCACTTGGCAGTAGGGCTGCTGGGCTCCTCTCCCAGCTGCCTGGAAGAAACAGACTCAGTGAAAGTCCTGGTGGGGACGTGGCTGATTGTGCGGGGGGTGGCTGGGACAGGGGCTGCGGAGGCCTGGGAATGGCGCGGCACGGATGGAGGCAGCGGCAGTCAGAGACGGACAGGCACTTCATCGAGCAGGAAACGTGTGTTATGGAAGGAAATAGAAAAACGGGTTCCCTCCCCCCAGACCCACAGGCACCGCCTCTGAGTGCCAGCGGGGCACTCCTGTTCGACAGCTGCCAGTGGGTCAGGACACCCCAGGCCTGCGTCCCCCCCCAGGCCGCAGCCCGGGGATGCTCTGGCCACGGAGCCAACGTGTGACCTAGTGGGGTGAGGGCGAGGGAACGACATGGAGCCAGGCAGGTCGAGCTGTCCAGATGCTCCCCTAAGAGATGTGGCAGGAGGGCAGAGCCGGGGCTGCGTCCCTCACATGGGCGAGGCGGTGCACTCCGGAGTCAGCTCCATGTCGAAGGTCAGAGACTCTGCAGGGAAACACACAGGGACAGGGGCCGGTCAGATGGGGCTCAGAACAATCCACCCCTCCCGAGGGAGGCGGCCCCAGGTCAGGAATAAGGATGTTAAATATCAGTTAACTGAACCATCGACTAACCTCATGACTTCTTATCAGTTACTCGACTATTCTATAGTCCGGGGGTGAGGCCGGCAGCCAGCACGCTCCAGCCCCACTCCCGAGGAGCCCTGTTACCCCGTGCTGCTGCCTCGGTATCAGAGGCAGCAGCGTGGGGTGCCAGACAGGAACTGGTCCATGGGGAGAGCCAGTTTAAAAACCAGCTCCCCGCGCTGCTGCCTCTGATACAGCGGCAGCAGCGTGAAGTGGCAGGGGGCTCCTCAGGAGTGGGGCGGGAGCGCAATGGCTGCTGGCCCCACCCCCGGGGACTAGTAACCAATAAGAATTCACGAATGCAGAGCCGCAGCTAGGGTAGGCCCCAGGCCCAGTGGGAGCCAGGACGCTAAAGACATTTACTGGCAGGGGAGGGGAGAATGCGTGTAGTCTACAGCATTAACAGCTACGCTTTTGCTACACTGTCACATCCCTAATTGGGAAAGGCCTGGGCCCTGGCAGAGCTGGCACCAGACCTACATCCCCTGGCTGCTATGAGTGAGCAGAGGCCCCATGCCTGGGGCCGGACACCAGAGCCCCGGGGCCAGGTGTTGCCCACTTACCAAACTGGCCTCCGGCGTTGGCCTCGGCTCCCTCGCTGTTATTGCCAAACTGCATGAGCGAGTCCAGTGTGCGCGGGGACATGGGCAGGTCGATGGTGTTGCTGCAGGTCGTTCTGTAGCGGGGAAGGGGGAGGACAAAGAGCCCAGGGCCACCTCGGGGTTGCCTAGGGTAGGGCAGAGCCGGGCCTGGGGGGGAGGGGAGGGAACGGTGCCACGAGCCGCACGAGGGACTGGCAACTTGGGATCAATTCCCAGCTCCGTGCCCACTTCCTGGGTGACCCCGGGCCTGTGGGTCCCACTTCTCCATCGGCACGCCGGGGAGAACCCCCCGTCCCCCCACGCCGCGGGGGGGGGGCCGCAAGACACCCA